ATTCAAGCATACAGTACGACTTCTAAAGCGTGTGACATGACTTGATTGTATGTTCAAAAAGCCTGGTCATTTAACTTTCTAATGTGAAAAAGCATTTCATACGCTTTTTTAATCAAGCAAAAATCTCCTCAATTTTGTAGCCAATTTGTTAACATTAGAATTTTCCAATGTTCGCTCTGGTGTCGGTTGTTCAAATAATTTACCCGACCAAAAAGACTTTCCATGTGCCTAATAACGTGCATCAATTAGTTTCTATTTTATGGCGACGAAGTTTCGATCAAATAATTTCCAAATTATTCAAGCATTACGTTCAAGTACAAAAAAGATTTTGAAATTTTATGGTCAAAAAAGTTCTTTGTATAATTTCCCAATCTGAAATAAGCATTTCATATTCCTATTAAACCGATTGAAAGTCGCCTCATTTTCTGCTGAATTAGGTCAGTAATTCGATTTCAAGAAAAATAAATGGGCACTTCAGATGACGCTCAGTCAAAACAATCAAATGGCATTCAATTTATTTAATGAAATTTATAAAACGGTTGTTTTTTCAGGTGCAAAAAATTGGTCATAAAATTGTCAAAGCACTCAAGCATTCCGTAAGACTCCATAACTATGTGAGATATTTTTCCAATGTGAATTTAGCATTTCATACGCATAACAAATCGAACAAAATTCTCCCTAATGGCAAGAAAAATCAGTAAAATTGTTTCGCAATGTGAATAAGGCAATAAGGCAACTCAGACTGCGGTCGGTCTAACTTTTCCCCGATGCAAAAACTTTTTGATGGGCTGGAAATATCTTGCATGAAGTATCTACGTTTTTGTAGCTACGAATATTGACCACACGATTGCCAAACGGTTTTGCATTCAATTCTGCTACTAATTGGTGCGAGATGCCTATGGTTCTTTGGTCAAATAAATTGGTCATTTATCTTGCCAATGTGATGTCAGCGTTCCATGCGCGTACTTGTTCGAACAAAAATCTCCTCATTTTTGTGATCAAAAATTAGTATTACAGTTTTTCTGTTTTGAGTGAACATTAGAAATGGCCGTCGGTCAAATAATTTCCCCCATGCAAAGCGCATTCCACATGCCTATTAAATTGCATGAATTAATTATTTTTTGTGGCTAGGAGAAGCAATTATTCTTTTACAAAGTAAATCATGGGAATGTTCTAAGGCTGTTTGATTCAAAGAATTTGCCATAAAATTTCCAGAAGTGAAAAAAGCAATCCATAAGCCTAATATGTTGGAAAAATTTTCTGGAATCGTGTGCCATAAATGTCGGTTTTTAGAAATAACTCAGAAGTAGACAACTTGTCATGCGCTTTTAGGCTGCGTAAATCGAATTTTTTTGTTTGCCTACAAATTCTGCTAAACATTTTCTTAGTGTATTTTAACTTTCCTATAAGATTTTAAAACACAGTCATAGCAAATTTTGATAAAAATGAAGCCGTCCAAACGCCTACTGTTTTGTATGCAAGGCTTTTGAAGGCATGATCAAAATTTCTGTCATATCATTTCATGCAAACTAAGTAAATAATACTTCAAATTTAGAAAAAAAAACTGAAGGTTCGATAATTTTTTTCAAAAAAATACTGAAAAAGAAAAAGAAAATCTAAAGAACTACTAAGCTATACGAAAATCTTTAACTGCATTCTTTCGCAAGTGATTCAAGCATACAGTACGACTTCTAAAGCGTGTGACATGACTTGATTGTATGTTCAAAAAGCCTGGTCAATTAACTTTCTAATGTGAAAAAGCATTTCATACGCTTTTTTAATCAACCAAAACTCTCCTAAATTTTGTAGCCAAATTGTTAATATAGAATTTTCTAATGTTCGCTCTGGTGTTGGTTGTTCAAATAATTTACCCGACCTAAAAGACATTCCATGTGCCTAATAACGTGCATCAATTAATTTCTGTTTTATGGCTAGGAAGCTCGATCAAACAATTTCCAATTGATTCAAGTATTACATTCAAAAACTAAATCGGTTTTGAAATTTTACGTTCAAAAAAGTCATTTGTATAGTTTCCCAATCTGAAAAAAGCATTCCATATGCCTATTAAACCGACTGAAAGTCTCCTCATTTTTTGCTGATTTAGGTCAGTAATTCGATTACGAAAAAAATTATTGGGCACTTCAGATGACGCTCTGTCAAATTAATCAAATGGCTTTCGTCAATATATCTAATAAAATGGATGAAAAGTTTTTATTTCAGGTGCGAAAAGTTGGTCATAAAATTGTCAAGGTACTCATGCATTCCGTACGACTGCATAACTGTGTGAGATATTTTCCAATGTGAATTTAACCTTTCGTACGCGTAATAAATCGAACAAAGTTCGCCCTAATGGCCAGAAAAATCAGGAAAAATGTTTCGTAATGTTAATAGTGCATTTCAGACTGCGGTCGGTCTAACTTTTCCCCGATGCAAATATTTTTGATACGCCTGAAATATTTTGTATGAAGTATCTACGTTTTTGTAGCTACGAATATTGACCACACGATTGCCAAACGGTTTTGCATTCAATTCTGCTACTAATTGGTGCGAGATGCCTATGGTTCTTTGGTCAAATAAATTGGTCATTTATCTTGCCAATGTGATGTCAGCGTTCCATGCGCGTACTTGTTCGAACAAAAATCTCCTCATTTTTGTGATCAAAAATTAGTATTACAGTTTCTCTGTTTTGAATGTTCATTAGAAATGCCGGTCGGTCAAAAAAATTCCCCCATGCAAGGAGCATTCCACGTGCCCAATAAGTTGTATGAATTAACTATTGTTTGTGGCTAGAAGAAGCAATCATTCTTTTCAAAAATAAATCAAGCTTTCATTAATTATTGTGAAAGTTCTATGGCTGTATGATTAAGAGAATTTGTCATGAAATTTCCAGAAGTGAAAAAAGCAATCCATCAGCCTAATATGTTGGAAAATTTTTCTGGAATCGTGTGATATAAATGTCGGTTTTTAAAATTAACTCAGAATAAGACAATTTTTCGGGCGCTTTTTAGGCTGCGTTAAGCGAATTTTTTTTGTTTGGCCTACAAATTCTGCTAAACAATTTCTTAGTATATTTCAACTTTCCTATAAGACTTCAAAACATAGTCACAGCAGATTTTGATATAAATGAAGCCGTCCGTGAGCCTACTGTTTTGTATGCAAGGCTTTTGAAGGCTTGATCAAAAAAATAGTCGTATCATTTCATGCAAACTAAGTAATTAATACTTCCAATTTAAAAAAAACTGAATGTTCGATAATTTTTATCAAAAAAATTTCTAAAAGGGAAAAAGGAAACCTAAAGAACTACTTAGCTATACGAAAAGTCTATAACTGTATACTTTCGCAAGTGATTCAAGCATACAGTACGACTTCTAAAGCGTGTGACATGACTTGATTGTATGTTCAAAAAGCCTGGCCATTTAACTTTCTAATGTGAAAAAGCATTTCATACGCTTTTTTATTCAATCAAAATTCTCCTCAATTTTGTAGCCAAATTGTTAACATTAGAGTTTTCCAAAGTTTGCTCTGGTGTCGGTTGTTCAAAAAATTCACCCGACCAAAAAGACATTCCATGTGCCTAATAACGTGCGGCAATTAGTTTCTATTTTACGGCAAGGAAGTTCGATCAAACAATTTCCAAATGATTCAAGCATTACATTTAAATACTAAATAGATTTTAAAATTTTATGAACAAAAAAGTTCTTGTATAGTTTCCCAATCTGAAATAAGCATTCCATATGCCTATTAAACCGGTTGAAAGTCTCCTCATTTTGTGCTGAATTAGGTCAGTAATTCGATTTCGAAAAAAAATAAGTGGGCACTTCAGATCACGCTCAGTCAAAATAACCAAATGGCATTCAATATATCTAATAAAGTGTATGAAACGATTTTTTTTTCATATGCGAAAAGTTGGTCATAAAATTGTCAAGGTAATCAAGCATTCCGTACGACTGCAAAACTGTGTAAGATATTTTTCCAATGTGAATTTAGCATTTCATACGCGTAATAAATCGAACAAAATTCTCCCTGATGGCCAAAAAAATTAGTAAAATTGTTTCGCAATGTTAATATTGCAGTTCAGAATGCGGTCGGTCTAATTTTCTCCGATGCAAAAACTTTTTGATACGCCTGAAATATTTTGTATGAAGTATTTACGTTTTTCTAGCTACGAAGATTGGCCACACGATTGCCAAATGGTTTTGCATTCAATTCTGCTTCTAATTGGTCTGAGATGTCTATGGTTGTTTGATCAAAAAAAATGGTCATACATTTTGCCATTGTGATGTAAGCATTCCGTAGCCCACATTTTGGTTAGCCTGTTCTTAAACCTTAGACTCATACCGGGTTAACTGTCTCATACGCTTTGAGTCCGGAATTTTTGATAATCAATGTAAAAAACCTGACTTTTCCGGTTCACATGATATGAATTTGGGTTGCTTTGGTCGATACGGTCTGAAATTGGACTCCTTTCGCCCACTCGGTCTGAAACCAGATTGCATTAGTTTACGCGGTTTGTACATAGCCTTTTCTGGTCCACACGGTCTGAACATATAATATTCTGGTCCTAACTGTCTGAATATGGTAAAGGTTGGTCCACCCGGTCTGAATATAAAACCACGATCTCGACTGGTAAGGAGCCCAAAAGTTTCTGCTAATTTAGGCACACGTTAATTTAACACCCAAAACTTCGTTGATTTTTGGCGCCAAACTCATCGGCGCCTAACCAACTCATTGATTTTGTTTTAGGCTTCTGATTAAGAATCATCCTACGTCAGAAAACAATCTGCGTCTGCGTCAAGAAGTTTTTTGTTGCCATTTGATGTTGTTTGATTATAATTTATTGTTTTCATGTGAACTCATTGTTTCATTTACTTTACTATTCACTAACTTTTGAACAAAGAGCTCTTTCTTTACAAAATAGGGTCTGCATTCTAACTTCCCAATATTTCTGTCATTCTCCTCGTTTGTGAAAATCTAATTGTTCATTAACTGCCCAAAAGAGAGGAAAAGATCGTTTGCAAAACTGACTAGTAAAACAGACATTTGTGCAATAACAATAAAAACAGCAGCCTAGGTATAATCAGTAAACCTAATCAAGTTGGTTTCGCAGGTAAGTTTTTGTAAGTTTTTGTCGAATGTTTTCTCAAGTATAAAAAATAAAAATAAAACAATTTATTTCAAAAATTGTATAAAATTTAGCCTAATGCGACAATTCGCGACAAAAGACAACTCACAATAAAAGGCAACTCGCATTCAAAGACAACTCTCAAAACACTCATCACCGCCTTCGCTCAAAATTTATGCGAGCTTGCCAACAGAGATTAAGTCTTTATCCTAAAACCAAAATTCTTCAGTTATGAATTAATTTTTCAAACTTTGCGAGTTGTCGATTTCCTATAATTCTGCTAGTCGTCTTTTGCTATGAGTTTTTTTTGTTGCGGGTTGCCGAGGCACCAATATTTAAGCAAAAATATCAAGCAAAAATTCTGTACCGTTTTAATGCTGAAATGATAATGGCTAACTATACGAACAGATGATTGAGTCAAAAGCTCTAGAAACAAGAGTAGCCGGTTGCTGTGCAAGTAGCACAGATAGTTCTGACCATATTCATAAAACAATTTGCAATGTTTTTTTTTCAAGTTTGTTGCAATGAAAAAAAAATTGCATCGAAAAAACTTTGAGAGAAACTTTTTTCCTGTACAAAATGTAAGCATCAATTCAATTTCTCGTAGAGATAATATCTTGGGAAAATTTTTAATAGTTTTTGATAAGCTCTCTTTTACTATTTAGTTTCCTTTGTGATCAGTTTTTTCAGTAAAACTACCACCTACTGTTTGTTTAAAATTTTTATTTCTGAAATCATGTTTGCGTTCTTGACAAAAAAAAAGAAAAATTAACTGAGAAACAGCAAAACTTGATATTCATTCCACAAAACTTTTGAATACGCGTGAAAGAGCCAATAGTCTTAGCCACACTGACATAAACTCTTTTCCACACTAAATCGAAAAAAAGCGTATTTCACCCTTTGCAACAAGATTCGGAGGATATTTAAAACAATTTTTTTCTCAGGTTCGAGAACATCGGTTTGAAATCTTTGTTTTCTAAACTAATCTGCACCAAGTAAAGTGAACTATTGGATGTTTCAATAGAAAAAGCTTTTAATTATTTCGTGGAACATTTAGTGTTACCTCAGGAAACCTTGTTTTCAGAGCTTATTTTAGCATTCCCTTGTTAATAAATTTTTTAAACCTTTGAAAAATATTCTGCAAAATTTAGACAATTTTTTGATTTTTTTAATTTTTTAAAAAAATTTTTGTTTGTTCATTTTTTGAATGCCTTTACCGACGGATTTAGGGGGAAGTAGCGGGGGGCGGACACCGCCCTTAGCGATTCGACCTTTTGCCGACCCAAATTTTGACATTTTTGGGATTATTTTGAGATATTCTCTGTATTTTTTTCTAAAAGCACCATCGGCGCCAAAACATACTAATTTTGAAAGAGAGCGCGCGCCAAAAAAAACGCAATTTTTTCGGTCAACATTTTCTTTTAATACCTAAAAACGCCTTTTTTGTTTTTTGCAGAAAACTTGGTCAAACGAGGTCTCTATAATGATTTGGGAGAGCTCAGAAAATCTATTTGGTCGCCCTAAAAAACCAAAAAAATATAATTTGACCATCCCTTCGAGAAAATCTTAGATACTGAATGTGTTAAATTTTTTTTTAGTTTTTTTTTTAAATTGAAATAAGTAAGAGCCTCAATCTTATATAATAATGATTTTTTTTTTCTTTTTTTATTTTGCAATTCCTTCAATTTATATAAAACTGATCATTTTTTGTAACTCTTGCCCCCAATAAAGTTTTCAATCGACTCGTCTAAATTTGTGAGCACCAGCAGGAAATTCTGTTCGGCGTTTGTTTTGAAAATCTTTGGCATCAGAATACGAATTATTTGAATTATATCGAAACCCCAGAATGACCAAGTTTGCAATTTTTTCTTGCAATAAATCAATTACGTTTTTTGGCGCATGTTTGTTGCACAAAAATAGTATACACTAGCGCCAGAGTCGCTTTTAGAAAACTTTAGGATTGGTCAGCCAGAAATGTCTATCGTGAAAAAAATAGTACTCAAGGGTAAGGTTTGGTCCGAGTTTGGCATCCAGCCAGCCTTTAAGGCAAATGATTTTCCTTATTCTGTGGGTAATTCTTCCGACTTTTGTAACGAAAGTAACGGAATAATTGTGCTCGGGGTGTGTTTTTTTTTCTTCTGACAAACTTCGACTTTTTAACTAGCTATTTTTGACGGAATCTTTTTATATCATTCAAAAGGTATTGTTGTCGTGAGCTTAAAATTGAAAAGATATTTTACTTGTGATCATTTTTCGCAAACTTATGGGGGTTTAAAGATTTTCATTTTGGTCAATTTGGGACAATTAACGCGCGATATGTTTCGCGCTATTAAGGCTCACAATTTAATCCGTCTTAAAAATCGTTCCTAATTGGTTGAAGGAAGCTTATGTGCTATATTTGATTTGTTACTAGGTGCAAAATATATCAATTTTTACTTTATATGGCATGTGGGGGATGATTTTCGCAAATATCTCAAAATAAAAAAATATATTTTATTTTTTTTTACATTTAATTTTTTGTGTTATTACTGCTCCCTAGACCTTTAAAGGCAGCCGGAACATTCAGGGCCTCGCCCTGATACGAGCAGTCTTGGTAAATTTTCAAATATATTGCGCGCAAAGATTAAACGTCATCTTGAAGCTCGGTTGTTTTTTTTCTGTATAATCATTGTCTGGAACTGAGGGATTGATTAGGGGAAATTTTAAGAAATTTTTAAAAAGTTTTGATCCGTCTGGTCAGAAAACCATTTTTTTAGATCTCTTGTGAATTTACCTTTTTGGTTCTTCTTTTCAATTATCATCTTCGCTTAAGTAATTTCCATAAAAGGCTAAACCTACGTAACAATGTGGTTCCTATTTCGAAACAACTCGATGGCCACAGCCAAGTTAGGCGCGTGATGATGTCAGATTTAATCAGATGAATCATAAGTTCTTATCAAAAACACAAAATGGGTGTAATTTATTATTTCTCAAGGTGTTGGCATTTACGAGAATTAAACTTGCTACTACTAGCGTCATCTTAAAATTTTTTTGCTGGTTGTGTAAGGATTCATTTTCATATTCTACTTAATTACACAATGAAACTTTGAAGTTGAAAAATACAGAGAGAAATTCAAGATCAAGTGAGTAAAATTCAATATTTTGCAGCAGAGCCGCAAATATTTGTACGCACTTTGGGAAATGGAAAAATTGTTAAACTTCATCGCAAATTTTTTCCATGAAACTGTCTATAATTTGTTTCTTATTTCATTCCAGTTTGATAGACGGCCTTTTGTATTCTGTATTCTGTTAGCGGTTAGAGTAAAGCGCTTTAGTGTGCAAAAAGATATCATTCAAAAATAAATTAGCTTAAGCTAATTCGTCCAGACTTTGTGTTCATAGATACGAGCAGTCTTCTTCGGCCATTTCCGTTTATGGTTGTTAGACCCCGCAGCTGATGTTGCCAAATTAAGACTTTTTATACATTTTATTTTGTAGAATTGCTACTTCGGGACATAAAAAAGAGAAGAAAAACAAACGAGCAGTTTAAAAAGATTCAGCGAGTCAGTTCTAAATTCGGTTGCGGATATGCTTAGGAAAAGTAGCAATTTTTAGAAGCAATTATAACAATTGTTGATCACACACTATAGTGCAATTAATAACTACACACAACAAAAAAAAATCATTTTTTTCTTGCCGATTTTTATAGGCTGTAATGCCATTTTTTTTAAGAAAAATTTTCAAATAAATTGAAACTTTCATGGCGCGCATTAAAGCTCAATTTCTAGAGGAAATCTTAAATATTTCTTCCTCTCTTTCCTGATTTAATCCTCTCTTTTCCTTTAATCCTTTAATCTGCTTTTTTCTTGTTTTTTGTTGTGTTTTCGAAAGAAAATTGAATTCAGCCGTCGCATCCAAAAGTATTCTCCTCCTATTAATTGTGAAAAAAATATATATCATTTTTTAAATATATCTGGGACTTTAAACTAGGCTTCATAAACATAATTTTTGCCTATCAAAAAAAAAATTGATCATATGAGGGTAAAACCTAATTATTACCTCCAAAAATTAAATGAAAAATTGATAGAATTCTTAAGAAAAAGTGATAAGATTTTGGCTTTTTTAAAAAATTCTACCGCAAAGCGCTATGAAAAGTAAAAAATGGCTCGATAGCGGTTTATTTAGGTTGAAAAGCTTGCTTCAGTTCAGAATGTTTTTCTGAGCAAACTGAATAGCTGCTTGCCGTTAATAGCACAAAACGTATCGCGTAAAAGTGAGCGCAAAAGGTCATTTTTGTTAGGATTTTTTTTAAAGTCGCTATTTAGAAGTTGAATTTTTATTTAAAAAAACTACTACGAGCATAAATCCTCGTTTTCTACAAAAAAAACTCAGTTTAGATACAATAGTTTTTGTAGGCCAAATGATGGTATCTCACCCAGTTTTTTATAATTTTTATAATATTGATAAACTTGTGCTCTAGAAACTTCATTCGAGTCTTTTTTTTTGAAGAATATCGGACTGGTGTGGCAACCCGGTTGATAGAGCGTTGGTTCTTCAGTTTTTCACCCACAGAGCCTATTATTTTTTCGCTGCGCTCAAAATCATTCTAAAATGAGGCACTCTGTATGTGTCCTGGAAAGACTTTTTTGTTGTTATAATTTCCCATAACTGATCTTTCAACCATTAAATTTGTTATTACTTCTAATCGAAATCAAAAAAGACTGCTCGTATCAGGGCAAAGCCCTGAATGTTCCGACTGCCTTTTAAGGTTTATTGAGCAGCAGTAATACATTTTAAAAAAATGAAATAAAATAAAATGAAATTTTTTTTTTAATTTGAAAATTTTTATGAAAATCATCCCCCCACACGCCATATAAAGTACAAAAAGGTAGATTTCGTTCCTTGTAACAAATCAATTATGGCAAATAAGCTTCGTTCAACCAATTTGGAACGATTTATAAGACGGATTACATCTCGCTTACGCGTTAATAGCGCGAATTATATTG